TCTATATGATGAAGATATATATCTTCATTGTCTTTACTGACAATATCTTACTTTATATGATGCTTCAGTATATGTATACATGATGTCTATTGACAATACCTTACTCTATACAATCCTGTAGTGTGTGTGATCTCTACTGACAATATCTTACTCTATATAATGCTACTATATATATATATATATATACATTATTAATATTGACAATATCTTACTCTATATTCTCTACAGATAATCTCAATGTCACATAATCCATTGAATATATATATATATATATATACATTATTAATATTGACAATATCTTACTCTATATTCTCTACAGATAATCTCAATGTCACATAATCCATTGAATAATGGTAATATACTATATAAGTATAATCTCAGTTACAACTGGGTTTATTATCTCACTAACTGTATCAGCTATACACAATGCTTATATAATCTTCTTGAAGATCATATATGATGCTGCATTAATATGTCAGCTCTTTGTTAATAATATGATATTGTATGTCTACATAATTTCTGATAATTATTCATGATTCTATTCTGTAGGTAATGTACATGACAACTATGTATCATGTTATACTATATATATATATATATATATATATATATATATATACACTTTAGAATACTACATATGGCACTTTAGTCTGACTACTTTGCCTCTTTGATAACTGTGTGTAATCCTGCTATGAAAGTCTATGATGATGTGGAATGATGTTGTAGGTGCCTGAACTACATACATGACAAAAATATATGACAAAAACACAGTGTACCTCATATTTAAATTTTATGTCATAGTATGGTCATACTGTGATATATTGTAAAGACTATGCGATGCCCTGCCATTATTGACATCTCTGATAGCATTGTAGGCATGAAAACTCTATTTTCACCCCTTTTTTGATAATGATGCATGATGGTAGTGTATGATTTATAATATCCACGATATCATAAATAACATTTTCAAGTAACATTCTATTTTGGTTCATCTTTTTGATGATATATGAAGCTGCCCTATATATTAATCATAAATTAAACATCATTGTAATATCACTATACACTTCTTCTTTTGGATATTCATAAAGAATGGTATTTAAACTGAGCATGGTGGCACCCCCTCTCCTTTAGTTCCAACAAGAATATCCTTAGCTTTCAAAGCCCCTCCTGAATTCTTCACACAGTGACTATCAGGTAATAAACAAGTCTTTAACCTACTAAGTCTTGGGGAACTTGTTGCATGCAGCAAGATACAATATAGAGATTTTATAGCTTTTGCTTTTACACTTCATTGCAGTAGTTTCTGTATATGGAGTAAATAGCAGTGTGAGCTCATTGCTTCCCATACCTGCATCCATATGATATTCTATTTCTTCCATTGAATTGGACTGGGCAATGGGTGGGAACCAAATGTGTGTACCTCTTCTGAGCTCTCTGTAACCTATGTCTATTCTTTGGCCAAGACCACACAGTCCTATTTACTATGGCATAAAGAAAATATTGATGTCAGGAAAGAAAAGTTCTCCAAATGCTGTCCTTTTAAATGACTTTAATTCTTGTTAGTCTTTACCTGCTTCCCTGTCCTCATTCTTTATTGGTTATTATATTCCTTAATTTATAACAACTAATTTAGATAGGTCTCATAGGTTCTTTCTTGACTAAAGACTGCTATACTGTGTAAATCTAGGAATTTGTTTGCATAAAATCAATATCATAAAACCAATCATGGAAATATCACTTCTTATAACATAGCTTTGCAACTTTGAACAAAGGTTGTTATGAGCAGGTGCTAGAGAAAGGGCTCAGAGGCAGGCAGATCTCTGTGAGTTCCGGGCCAGCCAGGACTGCGTAATGAGACCCTATCTCAAAAACAAATGAACAAAAGTGGTATTTAATGAGTCAATGCCATCATTCAGCCATAAAGCATGGTACACTAATATAAGTCATCTCTTATGCTGCTCCACTGTGTTTTTGATGTCACTTTAATAGCTAAGTCCCATACTATATTGTGTTATATCCTTGATCAGCACACAGAAATCTTCACTGAATGTGCCTCATCTCCAGAAAGACCACAGATGGTGGCATGCACTGTCTCTGTTATCTGTCTGATGGCCACATGTGGTGCTGCATTGTGTCTCCATGTCCCCAGTAACTATGTCTGGTGATAGTCTGTGTCTGTCTGGTATGATATGATCCAAGGCCTTGAAAATGACCTGAGATACTACCTCATGCTCTCTGTGAAAGACACATATGGTGAAATGCCATCTGTCACATCAGTTTGCTGTCCACTTATGATGAAAGAGTGTATTATAGGTTTATCTTTGATGACAGTGTATTAAAATGTATATGTGCCATCTCTTGGTTACTGAGTGACATATTGAAGCATATATGTGTCATTATGGTGCCTCGCTATGCATGCTGACCATGTATGATACACACTATGAGTTTCTGGCCTCCTTGGATTAACATAATGCAATACTATGTGTGCTTTATCTGTTTAGCCAAGTGCCATGCTTTCTCTTTTCTGTGTCATAGCTTTAATATTCTATAAATGCCATATTCCCAGTGATCCCATGTCATACTGTTCTGTCTTACCTCCAAAAGCCCTAATATGATATTATACCATATTTAGACAGTCTGTGACTATACTGATTTCTCTGGTTTGAGCTATAGGAAGAGTGAGGTAAAACACTGTACAGAGTTATATAGTTTATTCTGAGTATTCATATGCTGATACTGTGTATATCTATATCATTTATGGTGATGATGTTTGAACACCACATTCAACTTTGATTCTGCAATATGTCATGACATTTCTTTTACGTATATGTGATACCATGGATATGAATGACATATCTCCTTTACGTGTTCTGCCACTCCAAACAATGTATAACCACATATGTGGATATGCTATTTCTGTGACAGCTGCTGGTACCATATATTATGCCACACAATGATTGCTTTTTCTTCCCAATGATTGTGTGTAATGCTACACTAACTTCATGTCCTTGAAGACCTTACTGATGCTACACTTTCTATGTGTAAGATGTTTGACATTTTGCATTCTACCACACTATGCTTCCATTATTTAGTGATGTAACACATGGCTTTTTATCATATCTTTGTATCATATCTGTATAAGAGGGGCTGGAGAGATGGTTCAGTTGTTAAGGGTGCTTACTGCTCTTAAGAAGGACCTAAGTTTGGTTTCCAGCACTCATGTTAGGTGGCTCACCACTGCCTGCAACTTCAGTTCTGTTGGTTGCAACATTCCCTTCTGGTCTCCACCAGCACCTGCACTCACCTATAATACCTACACACAGATGCATACAAATACACACAATTAAAAAGAAAACAAATCTTTAAACAATCTGTGTAAGCTATCATATTGAATGCACACCATATCCTTGAGAATAATGTGTGATTCTACACAATATTGCATACCCATAGTAAATACCTGTGGGCTTTAGGCTGGGTCTGGTCCTTGATAATATTGCATGAAATTGTGTGATACTTGACCTTACTACTCTCTTAGTGTATATTTCTGTATAACCACTTCTGTCTATTGTGTATGATGCCAAGCTGTACCTGTGTCATGTTTTCTTAGAGTAGTGTGGAATGCTGCATAATCTCTCCTCTTTGCTCAACAGCACACATAATGTAACACGGGTATCTACATCATGCCCTTGAAAACTCTCTATGATTTTATGTGGTAGTTTATCATACTGTGGATAATTCAACATATTCCTCATGAAATTATGTTATGGAAAGCAAGACAGGACATAATTAATCATCCATACGTATTTATTACATAAACTGTTAGGTTGCATAGAATATTGGAAGTCACTCCACAGCATTTGCTGGGGAAAAGGTTGGAGGATCAGAAAGCTGAGGAATTATAGCAGCAATTAATGAGGCAATTTCATGTAGTTTATCTGGTAGTTGAAAGAGGTTTATTTCAGGGTCACTTACAACCAATAAAGGGTTGGTTACAGGATCCAGAAGAGGTGAGAACTCGGACTTGGTCTGCAATCCAGTATCCAGGATCACGAGGAGCCAAGAGAGCCGGCACATACACATTTCAGATCTTAAAGGGTCTCGTCTCGGCCACACCCCAGGGGCAGGTCATAGACAGGTGTGGCAGTTAACCTGCTTCCTCACTAGGGGCAGTGCTTCAAGGTCAAAGATGGAACAGCTACCCACTACAAGGAATGAAGTGTTTGCTAAAGTACAAGTTCCATTCTAGTTATCTCCTTGCTACCTGTTGTTCATTCCAATAGTGATTCTGTTCTTCCATTGTTCTACAAACCATTACTTCAAAAACAATTTCTTTTTCTTTTAGGGTATTCTTAAACCTCTTCTAATTCTGTACTCCCTAAGAAGCATTGAGATGTGTAACATTCTTGTTTATCTCCAAAATGACAAATGTTTATTGTTTGAGGTTCATAAGTTTGGATTAGTTTGTTGCACAGTAAAAGATAATTAACCCAGGCTGGCCTAATTGTTGTCCTCATTTTGCAGCTGAGGGAGCTAAAGTGTACATAAAGTAGCTAAGGAACCTCATGTCAGGACACAGAGTTAGGATATTATGGAGTGGGATGTGGGACCAGCAGTCTGCCTTCTGACTTCATTCTTATCCTGTCTTGTACATGGCGATGATATCAAAGAGGGGTCTGTGCATCACATACCATATTTCAAGTCCCTAGTCTTCCTTTTTAAGGTGCCCCACATTTCTGTGTTACTGGATTGTGAAGCATCTCAGCTGTAAGCTTTATGTGTGTAAACATACCAATTCTAAAATAACATTAAAAATCATTTTATCTATTCCACTTTTTTTTTTATTCCACATATACTTTCTTCTACTTGGAAGCCCATGATCTCTTCCAATAATGTCAGAGACAGAGTGCACGTCCTGTGCCATCTCTTCTGCAGTGGGACAGCTTGCGTTTAGAAGGTTGAGCATGACTCTAGACACAGGAAGGACAAACTCAGTGCAGAGCTCATTTGTCAGAGGATGGATTTTTAGGTAACATGACGTCTTGCATTTCAGATGGATTAATGTATATTCCAATCCCTCTCCAAAAGGGACAGCAAGAGTTTACAATGCAACCACAAGAAAATGCATAACCAAACTGGAAGGCCATGAAGGAGAAATCTCAAAGGTGAGTTGCCTTCTCATTTGGATCAATGTGTTCCCTGGAAAAAAATAGAAGAGCATCTTTAATATGAGTAGTATAATAGAGGCTACAAATTAACTCTCTGAATTAATAGATCAGAACTCACCCTTTAGCATAACCAACATATTTATTAATATGGAGCAGGCAGAGAAGTAATGTTTCTGATATCAAGTGGCTTGAGGTAGAAAGAAGAAAGATAAAACCAAGTTAAGTGAACAGAATGACATTTTTTTTTAAGATTTTCATTTTTAAATGCATTGGAGTTTTGCCCATATGTATGTCTGCGTGAAGGTGTCAGATCCACTGGAACTAGAGTTACAGACAGTTGTGAGCTGCCATGTGGGTGCTGGGAATTGAACCTGGGTCATCTGGAAGAGCAATCAGTGCTCTTAACCGCTGAGCCATCTCTTCAATCCCTAGAATGACATATTGCTGAACCCTCAATGAGTCTAACATGGTGTCCAGTGTTGCTAGAGATCCTGGAGTTGAATGGCTCAGGAGAAACATCATTGGACTTGCTTATGTCATATCTGTACTTGATGATTAGTTTAAGATGAATGTAATTTTCATGTAGAGTGACTGAAAACACCACTTAAAGCAACTGATAACACCTCTAGAAAATATCTACCATGGAAGCTACTCATTATCTTTCCTACATCCATTACCAAAGTGGCTTCCTGTTGGAGAGCAGAGAAACATGGATGAATCAGACTGGATTTTGAGTCCAGGAATTTCAGTTAATTGTAGATGTAATCAACTGTCTTATTACATAAGAAACACAGAAACAATGTAAAAGAGAAAGCCGAGAGGTCAGAGCTCAGAGCTAAAATCTCACCCTTCCTCCTGCTGTCCCAGCTTCCCGAAA